CACACACACACACACACACACACACACACACACACACACACACACACTACGGTTTCATTCTGTCAAAAAAACAAAAACAAAGTCTTTAAGAAACAAACTACTACCATCACATATTAAAAAGAAACAAGTAGTATATTTAGAAACAAGTTGAATCTTTCAAAATTAGGTGCATAATTTCTAGATAGCAAGCTTATCCAGTATGATGCAATTTCTATAGACTACCTCCAATAGATGTACACAAAATTCTTATAATAAGAGGATCAATTCCACAACAATTTTCTTATCAATTCATTGAATTCATGGCTACAGATCAGCCATGACAGATTTCAGAGCTTTGTTTAAAACAAGCTCCTAACCTTCAGCCACAATCACAAAACATGGAAGCACAGGGAAGAACACAGAGAATGCTACAACTCTTAAACTTATTTTAAAGAAAAGCAATAACAAAAGCACACCAGAGATGAATCCCTGGTGCACAGAGAAGTACCTCTGTCTGGAGGTGGGCTAGTCTGACACAGGTTTCCTGAGCAGTCATCTGTGCCAAACATACTATGGGGAAAAATGGTTGCAGAATGTGAAACATTTCATCAGCTACTTCATCCTAATTCTTGGGGACCAACAATAAAAAAAAAATCTTTCTTTCTGTGACTGCCTCAGCCTTCTCACTTTTGGAGACAGTTTTTATTTGTGTGCCTAAGAGATAACAGGAAACAAAAACTAAACGGTCCTCATATCCAGGATATTCTACATTAACTACAGGGCCTTATATTCCAAATGACCTACAATTAAAGAGTTGGCTCTGACAGAGCAGCAGGCTATCAATTAACATATGGGTGTGTATCTCATGTAAATATTCTGTCATTTTGAGGACTGGAATTTAGCCACTGTTCCTAAACCATTTTGCATCTGGTCTTGCTAGACTATAGCTTCTATAGAATGTTCAGACATGCTAACTTTAAAAGCATCTCAACCATTCTCATTTTGACTGCATTACCCTCCTTATTACAACTGGACAGAGTATCCCTGTGGATTTGATTTCACTTATCTGTCTTTTTACATTTAACAGTCCTGTAGCATGTTAATACCCTTAAGTGGCAAGTACACCCTTACGTGATTTTGGCCACTATTTGCAAAACTGTTATGTTGGGCAGTTGCAGTCTATACAACCATCCTAGGAAGGCTCTTTCTCATTCTGTTTGGACTGTTCTGGCCACACATTTCGGAGGAAAGCTCACATTATGGTGTCCATGACTTCAGAATCTATCTCTACAGGCATAGCAACAATGCAGTTTCCTGACTGTGCTGAGTTTTTAGTTTAGATCTGCATGCACTCTAGTCCTTAAAGTCTGTCAATTATATGTATTTTATTTTTCTTTTTTATTGAAAATATTTTTTCATACAATATATTCTGATCAGTTTCCCATACCCCAACTCTTCTGAGAACTTCACCACTTCCCACTCACCCAACCCACAAATTTTTTCTCTCTCATTAGAATATAGGCATCTATAAATAATAATGATAGAAAATAAAAACAAACAAACTAGAATAAGACAAAGAAACAAACAGAAGAAAAGGGGCCAAAGAAAAAGCACAAAAAAACACATATAGAACAGAGACATAACATTCATGTTAACAGAAATCACATAAAAGCACAAAACAGGAAACCATGCCCTGACAAAGCATTATGAGACAAAGAACCTCAAAAAATGCCAGTAAGTTAATTTTGTGTTGGTCATATACTGTTGGGCACAGGGCCCGGCCTTAAGAGAGGTCTGTATCTCAAGTGAAACTTCATTGGAGAGAACCACTTCTTCATTTATGAGTGGTTATTAATTGGGGATAGCCTCTGGCTGGGTTGGTGATGTGGCTTGTGTTCACTTCTGCTGTCTCCAATGGGTCCCCTAAGAACTGTGGAGGTCCTGTGCATAGTACCACAGTCTCTATGAGCTCATACGTGTATTGATCCTGCTGTGATCACAAGGCCTTGTTTCTTTGGTGTCTTCCATGCCCTCTGGCTCTTAAAATCTTTCCAACTCTGCTTCCTCAGGATTCCCTGAGCCTTGGGGAGGGATATGATGGAGACAACCCATTTATAAGGTCTTTCTCTCTCTGCATAATGTTGGGCTGTGGGTCTCTATATTTGTTCTCATCTGCTGCAGGAGGAAGCTTCTCTGACAATAACTGAGCAAGGCACTGATCTGAGTATATCACAAAACTAAAGGTGGCATTTATTGATACATTCCTTGAACAGAACAGTAGTATTTGGTTTTTCCCTAGGTACTGGCCGATACAGTCCCAGGTTCTTGGCCTCCCACGCAGTGATAGAGATGGTTTCTGTCTCATGAACTGGGCCATAAATTTAATCAGATATTGTTTGGCCATTCCCACAAGATTTATGCTAATATTTCAGGCATGACACTGTTGGAGATCAAAGGGCTTGTAGCTGGATGGGTGTTGACCTCTGTCCTTTGATCCTGTGCAGAGAACTTTCCAATTCCATGAATACTAGTTAGTAGGGATAAAAGCTCTAGGTAGAAACCAGCTAAACTTTTCTGTGTTCAATGAGCTATGTAGGTGTTGCCTTCAGCAATAAGACTTTACCATTAAGTTGTGGAGAGCTACCCCCCAATAGCTTTGGCAATAGCCTGGGTTATCTGGAGGTTTCCAGGGGCCATTTTGGCCAACAACTAGATCAGATGTAACCCATTTCTGGAACCAGAGGCTTCATCTGGTGATGGGAGATACCCAGTTGGGGTTCAGTCTTCCAGGTATTTAGGGATTGCATTTAGATCACCTACATATATGTATATATATTAGGAGCTACCACTGTCATTAGGTTTGCATAGGACCAAACAAACAGCCTTTTGT